ACAAGTGGAAGTAAATGCGGTAATGGATGACGAGCGAGTTGGGCTAGGTGCTGCAGGAGGGGTTGGACCAAATGATATTGTACGTGAGAGTTCTCCATTCGGTCTCGGCGTGGAGGAGCCCGAGCCTGGCGATTCCTGCAAAGACATGGTAGCGTATTTCGACCATTTGTTTCTCGGAGGGTCAAGGCAAAGACCAATTCTTAAGGAATATTTTCAAGGCTCTGCTGGCTGAAGAGTGCTGCAGTTGTTCTCTTTTCAATGTGCAGAAGAACGAAGTGTTGAGCTGTCGCAGATGCGGCTGCTATTTATTGACCACCCCTCAGCCTCACCAAATCTAAAATAAGGCTGGCGGCTAAAGATTTTGGAGGTGGAGACGTGTTCCTCCGTCGAGGCCTCGGGCCGTCCCTCACTCTTGCATGGCTGGCCTGTTCCAGCTTCCTGCACACGCCACCATTGGCAGATCGACACCCCCACGAGTCGCACTGTTGGTAATTTTCAAACAACCGGAAGGCTAGGCAATTATTTCACACGAGACATCGCCCCTCCTTGCGATGCAACCAGAGGTACTTTTCGCATTGCTAAAAGGTCTCGAAAGTTCTGAGATGGCGCCTGTTGGCGAGAAATGGGCTTTGTCTGAAACACACGCGACCTCGGCGTCCCTAAAAATTTTTGACAAGATCACAGGCGGCTCGAAAGGGGCATTCTAGATTAAGGGTCCTATGGAACGCTAAACAGGGTCCCCAGCGAACGAATATGTGCTACCAGGTCATCACTAATGTTCCACTTCACGACCTTTGAGCGATTGTCCCCCAACTCTCACTTGATCATCACGGATTCCAAGTAGTGCATCACCCAAGCGCATTCTTGAAACAGAAAGATGACAATGACAGCACAACCAGGGTACAATACATGGATGAGACAGCTCAACTGATGAAGAGGGTAACAAGTGCTGAGCACGTGATCTGCTATGATTTGCGGGTAAGCTATCAGGATCGCAGCTCGCTGGATCTGGATATGTTCTTACATCATTTTTAGTGCGGGAGGAATTGACCACCGGGAAGGCTGGGTCGAGCCAGATCCCAAACTCCCCAGGTTGGCAAGTTCACGTTGGTATTGATGATCAATGTTAAACGCTATCTCCGAGCTAATCACCAACAGACCAGACCCGGGAAGGGGGTAATACGCACGTTCGTCGGTACCTTTCAAACGAATGAATACAGATGTATTTGATGAACAAAGATGAATGGAGGATACGAGTGATCAAGTTCGTCGACCTGCTTCTCGCAACTAACACGTCTTTTACTGATGTAGCCCCAACAGTTCTTGGCGGCCAGTCTCTGGTACTGTCGGAGATGCACCTCTTGCTTTCTGTGATTACACGACAATATGTAATGAAGACTTGTTTCCAACTGATTGACCCTGGAACGGGCTGAACAGAGAGATATATAACCTCAAATGGAATGCAAAGCAGCGATGGTACTGGATTCGAGATCAGACGCCAGACGAGGTTACCCTTTTCGTGAATTGGGACTCTGCTCCAATTGATGGTGGAGCTGAATGTGAGTCATTTGCAGCTGCAAAGGCCACCACCCTTTCGCAGTATTTTAAAAGCTTTGCCAGTTTGTGCTCATGCTGCATTCCTCGATCAGAATGCTGATCCATCACGACAACGTCGCCGAAGTATTGAACTTAGAGCACTGGTCATAACTAAAAGGGAAAGATGCATTGGCTTGTCGTGAGCAGAAACTTTGATTGACTAGACGCGAATACGATAAGACAACTCAATCTTCTCTGTTCCAGCAACTGACAAGCGGACACTTCATTGCCAAGTCCCACACCAAATATTGCCGAACTGTAAATGATACCCTTCAAACTTCATAAAGGGCACATGGAAAATAAAGCAATCGCGTTTTAAATATGATCGAAATGAATGAAAGGAAGTGGAGGTTGTAAAAGGGGATGAAAGTTTGAATAGGCGTCAACTTGACACCGAGCCAACTCCCCCTATTGTCTGTGGAAGTGTGCGGCGTTTGGCAAAGGAAACAAGGAAGAAGAAATAAACGACCATAGTGCTGTATTTCTATTATTCGCTTGTCCCTTCATACTCGGTCAACAAGCACCGTCTGCTTTGCTGAGAGCCGCGAGCAAAGCTTCCTCGTTGGTTTCAAATCGAAGGCCAGCCTGAGCCAAGCCGGGCCTCATCGGAAGAACCGAGATGTGCAGCTTATGAATCAGCCTCGAAGAATGCCATGCAAGGATGCTGTAAAACTCCTTCGATTGTGAGTCTTTCAGACGGCTCATACTTTAGCATGGAACCGAGAAAGTCTGTCAGGAGCGTGAGATCAAGATCAGAGAATTCATGCCTTCGATCCCGCATCCTCAGAGCCTCGTTGCCGTCCCTCATCTCTTGAACTCTGACAGCCAATGGTCGCGATGAAGTTTTGCTGACTTGAAGGTCTTTAGATACTCGGGTGTTCCAGGATCGAAGGATATACTCTGGTGGCTCGCCGAGCATGTCGGTCATTTTCGATAATACCATGCCAGTAGAGTCATCAGGGATTCCGAAAAGATCGCGACCAGCTAGGAGAAGATATATTGCGCAGCCTAGAGTCCAGATATCCAGAGGCGAGCCGATCTTCCCAGTACAATATTGCTCCGGCACAATGTAGGGACCAAAGAAATCGATCTCGCTTGGGGGTTTGTCCGCAGAGAAAGCACAGCCAAAGTCAGCGAGTTTGATAGCCCCTGTATAGAGCGAGATATTGGATAGTCTTCCGAGGGCCTCCTCTACGGCATATCGCGGAACGCAATCATCTAATGGCAGGCCGTCGATCCTTTTGATTGGAATAGTTCGTGGTGACCCATAGACCGCCTCCAATCTTTCGACAGACCATTGTTCTGCCCCCGAAAGTGAAAGGAGGAGATTCCCAGGGTGAAGGTCTAATACTTATCAGTTAACCAGCTTGACCTGGCAAAGAATTACATAGAATACCTCCATGAACAATGTTTTGCTTATGTATGTAGGCAAAGCCTTTTATGGTATCCACGGCGGCGAGTTTTGCTTTCGATAATGGCAAAACCTCAGCAAAAAGGCCCAATTGTCGCTTTATAACCATGGACAAGCTCTGGCCTTGGACAGAAGTGACCACACAGAAATGTTCCCCATTTACTCCTAAAAGCTTGAAGATGTCCAATGGAAGCAGCACATTTGAGCGACCGGGTTGAGCGCGATCACCTTGAGATAGATGCCGTAGTATGTTAATGTTGTGTGTTCGATCATAACCCTGAAGGTCTCCAGCTCTTTGAATGGAAACAGCAACGCAGGTCTGAGTGGTGGTATCCTCCGCGAGCCAGACAATGCAGCAGGAGCCGAGCCCAATTTTATTCAGAACACGATACCTGTCACCATTCAAACGATCCCCCAAGTGGACTGGATGGAATCCACCCTGCGTGTAATTTTCTAGCTGTTCGACGTAGGGAATGGCCTCGTACTTTTTGGACTGTGTACTCGTCATTTAGGGAAAGTGATTTGGAAAAACGTGGCTCCCAAGCCTGAAACCAGAGGGTGGAGCGAGAGGCTGAGGCTTCCCTGCACACCGCAGGTCTATGTCTAACAGTCGTGATGGTTAAATACTTGGAAAGCAGTGTCGATGGGGCATGATAACGCTTTATATGGCACTGGAAGCAAAGATTGCGGAAGTTTTGGGTGGAATGACAACTGAGAAACATGCATACCTGTTGGTAGGGTAGAGGTAGGTACCTACGCGTGCATGCCCTAAAGTTTGTCACACCGGCTTGGATTCTACCAATCAAAATATTGCGTTACAGCGTATGCCCCAGCAGCAAAAGGCCGTATAACAAAGCTGCGGCTCCTCAAATACTGGTCTTGTCTTATTCTTGATAGTGTTATATTGCGGTGTCAGAATTTGATGAAAACTACTCCGAAAACCACTCCGAAACCCCTAACGAGGTAACGATTTATGTCGCCCGTGCCACCTGACTCTCTTCTTCTTAAGATAGGCTTGAATATGAATTCACTAGCTGCGGTGATGTGGCAGCTTGGTTACCGTAGGCGGATTCCCGCATCACCTTCACCCCGCAGCTCCATGACCTGTTTTCGCAGGCCACGACATGTCACGAACACTCCATCGCACGCGTTGACTGATCGCTGCTACAAAAAAGACTCAGGTCCGAGAGGGTAGACGATGGCGAGATCATTGCTCGTTTCTACCTTCATCTTGTATTTTTGCGTCTCGTTCGCGATTCAGCTTCTAGAAGTGCCTATCGTTCGCCTCTTCGAGAATGCGATATGCGATCGATACTACAGAAGTGTCGAGGGCGCGTCTTTTCATATCCACGCTGCTATCGATGAAAAGGCTTGCAAGATCTCTGGTGTACAAGACGAACTCGCCAAGTTGGTTGGATGGAAAGTTTCTTTCGATGCATTGCCCGGTATTTTCTGATATTGCCTAGTGTCCAAATTCCAATTGACTAACTTCTTTCTCCAGGCCTTTTGACAGCTCTGTGGTACGGCTCAATGGGTGACCGCTATGGAAGGCGGATTGTTCTCACTTTGTCACTCTCTGGAAGTATTTTGGCGCTGCTATGGGTGGTTTGTGTGTGTAAGTTTGACGCGGCAGTATGAATTCAATCGATGCTGGAGAAGCAATACCGACAGATGCCTCCATGAATCTCTTTAAGTAGTGACAGATGTTTCCACCATTCGGGGCTGATGAGTTTCAGGTGCATACAACACAGTATTTCCTCCCCGTATAGCGTGGCTATCGTCATTGTTTCTACTGCTTGGGGGGGGCATTCGAATTTTCAACTCGGTTATTTTTGCCATCATTTCGGACATATCAAGTCACTCACATCGGTGAGTCACTCTTCTTCTGATATTAAATCTCAAGCTTACAGTCCGTAGCACACGGCTACTCTATTTGCTTGCGGCAGGGCCTCACGTAAATAGGTTTATTGCCCCTCGGATCGCTACAACCCTCATGAACCGCAGTTTGTACGCGCCATTTGTGGTGGCACTGGGCGTCGATATCATGTGTTTGGTGTTGATTAACTTCATTTCGTCTCCCATACTTTTCGCGGGCAACAGCATTGCTATAGTGCAAGACCATGATCCCGACGACCTGTCGTCGCCCCGGACCTCGCAAGATGACACGCCACTACTTGCAGCAACACAGTCACCTCTCAATGGTCATAGGGATAAAGTCACTCTTCGCAATTCACTGAGCCGTTCTGTCGAATCCATTGCAAACGCATACGTACTCTTTAATCACTCGACTTCGAGATTCTGCTTGGCTGCCTATTTCTTGAAAAGGATAGCATTTGCCAGCGAAGGCTTCATGTTCCAATACGCATCGGAGAAGTTCTCTTGGCCCCTGCATCAAACTACATGGCTCAGGGTCTCTCAAGCATGTGGTGCAATTACCGCCACGCTCATCGTTTGCCCGCTTCTGACTTTCTACCTTTCCAAGAGAGGGGTTCCTTCTCGCATCATCGATTTGAGCATGATTCGGTCAGCGTTGCTGATCTTGATGGTTTCTTTCTTTTCTGCCTGGCAAGCACCCTCAGCAATTCTGTTCACCTTATGTATGAAATTCAGCCCTCTCTGTCCGATCAAATCGTTGCTGATACCAGGGAACAGTTATGATAGGTTGTGGATTGGGTGAAGGACTAGAGCCATCGTTGCAGGGATTGGTGACATACATTGTCAACACGAAACAGACTTTCATGCTGTTCACCATTCTTGCAGCGTGCGATACGGTCGCAGAACTTATTGGGGGCCCTCTGACCGCTGCATTACTTCACAAAGGGCGCAAGCCTGGACATGCCTCGGATGGTTTTTGTTTCCTGAATTCTTCGGTAAGCTCGCTCTAAAATTGATCTTAAATACAACTAATAACTGATAGATTATATTTGGATTCCTTCTTTTATATTCTTTCTTAATCAAAGCCAAGAGATGAATTATAGAATGTAGATACGCGTTTGAACCACTTGACAATTTATGTCTACGCACAGAATTGATTTCTGGAGAATCTAAAGTGAAGAAATCGAATGTGCATGAATTTAGAAATCAGTCGTCTGAAACGACTTAAGTTCCAATCTGTCATTATCTAACAATTTCTACAAGCAGGCGAGGTGCTCGGTCAGCTCGAAAAGGGGGTAATCTCACGCAAATAAAGTAGGAATAGACTCAGAATGATAATGCATTATCCTACATATAACTTATATTATAAGTTATTATAAACTTAATGACAGAACTGGGAACTTGGATCTTACTTATATCACATATGCCGTTATTAAGCGTCACATTCAATATCAGATTCTCTGTCAATCAGTTTCAATTCCTCTGGGAGTGAATAATTCAATTGCGCATTTCGACTCCATTGTTGTAATCTTACCTCAGGCTCAAATTATCATACATTCTCTGCATACTCTATTCAAGATACGTAAATCTTCCTCTGCATTACCATGTTAATGTTGGCTCAAAAAGCTACTTGGAGTTCACCCTCCTAATTCCTTTCATTTGCTAGACTTTTAAGCGGATTTATTTTAGATATCAACTACTACGAGTGAGAAAGCTTATCAAATGATCTTACACCCAGCTCTTGATCCTATCCATTCTCAACAATCATTCACATTCATGTGCCTGATTATTTACCCCTTAAATTACTTTAATTCACCCCTTTTCTTGGCCATCATCCTTAAATCCCTTATAACACTATTCAGCCCTGTCGGCGCTGCAAATCTCCACCCCTGACTCTCAAAGGCAGTGGGCCCAGTGTTCCACTCCACGTCTTTGGCAGAGGCACCAAATTCCTTACAAGCCTCACAAGTCCATTTTGAACATCTTCTTACGTCTGCTAAACAGTAAATATATCCAGTCTTGGTACTCAATATTATGGTACATGTCCAGCAGTTAAGAAACAATCAATATTCACGTAATTCACCTGTGTACCCGAGGAATCGATTGGCGTTGCTTCTATCTTTGCCTTTGAGATTAACGATATGGTTAGACTCTAAGACTCGAATCTCAGCAACGTTTGAGCAGTTAATATTAACAGTTGTTAGAAACGCGCTTATATCGTTTGGTCGAATCTCAACTTGCACCTTGTTGCCTTTATCGGCCTTATTTGAAGACTACCACATTAAAAGCCGTGTGTTCCCTGCCAAGTGCTTTAACCATCCGCAAAGTGGCTACTTCCCGACCGCTAGGACTCTCAACTGCCTATTTGTTCTTGAACGCGTAGCCGAAATGTTGCAGGTCGAAGGTGTGAGCGCTAGAAGCGTCTTTGACTATTCGGCGCCAGCTTAATGATCCGCTGCCTTTGCTCTCTACAGTGAACATCTTCTCGTCCGCTTCGTCGAGTATGGTGATGTTGTAGAAGGTGCGATTATGGCAGTATATAGTGAGACTTGTCTCTTCCTTGCTGATCGTATCCTTCGATATGGCATCAGGAACTAAAAGGGGTTGAAGAGGACTCATTGTTGTTAGTGTTGTCTCCGTGATAATTTTCCGGTTGATGGTCATCTCGATGTGATGAGTTTGGTAGAAGAGGAAAGTCCAACAGTGCTGCGTACAATTAATGTAAAGCGATGTCTCGTATGTCGTAAAACGTTATATGATTTATGAAGAAATAGTGCCAGTGTGGCACAGACCTACTTGGAGACGCTCGCTTAATACAAAGGGGCTGAGCATCTCGATCTGTGAATTCCCCACTTCCTCCCAACCGGGTATTTTCCGATATGTTGACTTCAATGATGATGGATCTTGGCATGCATACCTTGTGTTACTATATGACATTTTATTCTGTTGTGAATCTGCTATTCCTTATCACTTTTTCGATCCTTTCGTTTACTTCATCAAAGCATTTCTGGTTCATTCCCAACCTCACGAGCTTCTGGAGCCAAGCACTACTGCTCAACATCTTCTACGTTGTTTCACTGCTGTATATTGAGACACGACCTGCTCCATGCTCCAAGTGCCTCCTTCTATAGAGCAAAAGCGATCGCCTAGACAGCGGCACCACTATGACCTCTGACCCACCTATAATGTTGGGGAACCCGCAGCTTCTCTCGTTAAAGCCAGATTCCGAGACTGATTCCAATGCTAAAATTCAACCTCTCTCGTTTTTCATCTTCCTACGACCTATTAAGCTTCCGATATACTATTAGAATAGTAACAAACGGACCAAATATTCCAAGGGAAGTTTCACGTTCCTTGAAAAATATCACTTGATAACTCTCATAGTGTTTTACGGCCACGCTCATACATGGATTCCAAGTTGTCAACATCTTAAAGTCTTTCTTGTACTCCTTTGACCTAGACACCGAAAGCCTGCCTGGCACATTATAAATTAGTTTTACTTTCTCTATCCACCGTCAAGCTTCTTCTTTTTGTAGGAGCAAACGTAGGGGATAAGGATAAGAGCGAAGCCTTTATTTCCATACAAAGAGACTGCTCAGCAGACATCTGAAGGAATAACAATTATTCGCTAAGTCCTAATGACCGTGCACTAAGAAATAGGGGCTCGCCATCAACTGCACCTGAGCTGTCACTAAACCCTCACAACTTCAAGCTAAGGTAAGTAGGTATGAGTGTTGATCCTAGTCGTGTCAATCTGAAAAAATGTTCGTTCTGTACTTTTTTACTGCGGAATAAACATGTACATCATTTCTCGAATGGTGACGAGCAATGCATGCCAAGACGAAAAAGGGGCATGGCTGTCAAGCACCCCGCACTTCACTTGAATCGGAAACCAATTGGATAAAGTCTGCATGTTTAAGTAGTACAGGCAATGTACTTATTCCAAGCCCATTCTCCAATGGCGAGCACCAAGACGGAGAAATTGAGTCGGGGTACTTGACCCGAGTCAACTTAGTTTTGCAAACTCCAAGGGACTACCGGTATTTGGTATATTTCTTCGACGCGGCCACCCTTCGACATCCCAAATACAAAAGTGCTATACGGGTTGACATTATCATCCTATATTCATATCCTCTTTCCTCTTCCTTAACAATGTTTTTCAATTTCGACATTCTTGCCCTTCTGCTGTTGATCCCAGCTAGTTATGCCACACAACCATATTCCACATGGATGAGCGACTCCTTTATGACACGGGGAGTCACAGCAGATCGCCACTACGCCAACGCAGTCCTATACCGCGGCTTTGAACTCGCCTACAACAAAAGTGGAAATGCCACCTATTACAACTATATCAAATCTCAAGTTGACCAGTTTGTAGATCCAGCTGGCAATTTGGGCGGAAATTACTCTACGTCCCTGTTTTCTCTGGATGACTTACGAATCGGGCCCAACCTGCTGTTTCTGTATCAGAGCACTCAAGACGCGCGGTACAAGACGGCAGCGGGCCAGTTGAGAGCTCAGCTGGACCGGCAGCCACGGACGCCGCGGGGTGGGTTTTGGCACCGGAGCCCTGATTATCCCAATCAGATGTGGCTGGATGGCATATATATGGCTGAACCATTTTACGCTCAGTGGAACCAGTTATTCGACGCGAGCAACGTCACGGCTTGGGATGACATTATCTTGCAATTTGATCTGATTGAAGAGCATTGTCGGAACAAGACGAGCAATCTGCTGGTTCATGGCTATGACGAGTCGAAGGTGGCAGTTTGGGCTGACCCGGTTACTGGTGCAGCGCCTCATGTGTGGGATAGAGCTCTTGGATGGTATTTCATGGCGTTAATTGATGTTCTGGACCACTTTCCAGAATCCCATTCCGGGTATGCAAAATTGCTGGGGTATATGGATAGTTTGGCTGTTGGGGTAAAAGCCGCGCAAGATGCTGCGGGGGGGTGGTGGTTGGTTATGGACGCACCGTATCCTGGAATGAAGGGCAATTATATCGAGAGCAGCGCGACGGCAATGTTTACCTTTTCTTTCTTGAAAGCAATTAGGCTGGGGTATATTGACAGTGCTACGTATCTGGAGACGGCACAGAAGGCATATGGCCTGATGACGACGAAGTTCGTGGCACAAAATGGGACGAATTCCACCTTGAATTGGGAAGGGACTGTAGTAGTGGGCAGCTTGGGGAGCAATGCAACTTTTGAGGTGAATTCTCTTTTCCTTTTGTTCTTGAACTTCTAGGAACTTGCAAAGATGCAAGACCGTGAGATTGTGCTAATAATGGATTTTAGTATTATATTGGGATAAAAGTAGATGAGAACGACTTTAAGGGAGCGGGTCCATTTATCTATGCAAGTTATGAGATCGAACTCTTAGACTTGTAGAGTTTTTGTTACAAACCATTGAGGACTACAATAGCCGACAATTTTGCTTGAATAAATGTGGAATGTTTGCAGAACTATTCCCAATGCGGCTATTCCCAGTCCAGTGTGGAGGAACTCCCTCGCTTTGTCTCTACTAAGATATTGAAGTGGGGGTCTCATAAGATACGTAAGATTAGTCATGAGGAATATTATTACTAATCGCAAGTCTTCGTTGAAAGGACTAGGGCTAAACTTTATAAAGGTTGCCCAGGTTTATTAATCATAGAGGGTGTCTAGGTATACCTTTATGGCTTGGAGGATTACAAATAGGGGGGAGGTTCTGGCTTATGCATCGTGATTACCAAAGCAGTGGAAATACCCCGCACCCGCTATCAGCATTCCAGGCTGAAAACAGCCCACCACTAGCGCCCCGCGGCCCGGATGCAGAATTCCTATCTTTTCAGCTTACATGTAGGATTACAAGTAAACTCTGAATCTATCTTCTTCATTTTTCTACGTCTCGCCATCTACTCCATTCAGGGCTTTCGGATCCTCAAGTAAGTACTCACAACGGTCAATCGAAATTCTCAAAACGTCTCGATATCTACATTGTCAAGATGTCTGTTGCAGAAACAATCAAGATAGCCCACACAGCCAGATGCAAGCTGCAGCTGGCCGCAGATCGCCCAGATCGGAATCTTCGCTTCATCCTAGGCCATGCATTCACGCTAGATAAGCTGCGGCTCCGAATTGCAGAAATTGAGGAGGAGGAGGAGGAGGAAGACGAAGAAGAAGACACAATCGCAGGACCAACACCAGCCGAACAAAGACGCGTGAGCTTCAGCGGGAAGACAAAGCAACGCAACAATGGTGCAGAGGGTCGCAGGAGTCCACCACCTCCACCACAGCTAGAGGATGATTTAGAAGAGGACGACGATGAGGATCTGGAAGAAGATGATGAGGAGGATGAGGGGTTGGGTCTACAGAGATTCGGGTCGGCTGCAGCACAACCGCCAAGGATAGCGGGGGAGAGCAGTAGCTCAGATGAAGACGAGGAACCGACGAATCCATCGATGTTCTCGGAGGATCAATTGAAGACGATTACAAACAGGCAGGGGAATGAAGAATTGAAGGATGCTTATAAGAAGATGTATAGATGCTCGTGTCATGGAGAAAATGGTCCGGCGGTGGAGAACTTTTGGGACATGCCTGCAGCTGAGCAACAAAAGCCGGGTCTGAGGAGGGCTGTTGTGCAGGTTTCGGTGTAATATGAGTACCTGAACTAGCTAAGTAATGAAACAAGAAATACCCAACATCCCCTGACCTAGTGGACAGGCCTAAATTAGAGAAGTGAGGTTACAGAGTTGAATTTCCGCGACCTTTGATGAAGCTTGTTCTATTGAAATCATGTTTACAATGCTATTGACGCTGAATCTGGGCTCAAGAGACCGTCTTTATCATGATGACAATTCGGACACGAAATTAGTACCGAAAGTTTTACAAGTTATCTGCATATTACCACGTGTACTGTTTCCTATTATGGCTCTGAGTTTCATCTCTTCTCGGAATAGTAAGGGGTTTCAGCAAAGATTAGGCTTTCTACAGATCTTGAGCAAACGGGAAATCAAGACACCCTAAAATCCCTCTCTTTGAAGACATCAATCTCAGTTGACCCAGAGAAAAAGCTTCCGAACTCCATAATCGATCAATCAAAGTGTCTGATTTTCCCTTATCGTTTGAATCAATCGTTTGGTGATAGAATATGCGGCATTCCGCTGTTTAGTAGCATACTGTAGAAGGGGCAGGAACGATGAAGTAAGTCTTTCTTCACTGCCTAAGCCTCATCTTCACATATCCTCCCCAGCAGCCGTATATTATTCTGCACAATTAATATTCCTCTATCCTTAGTTCGAAAATATCACTTTTTTTCGTCCGAGTGACACGCCCCCTTTCTCGCTTAAGTGAATCTGCCTCCGTCTCCCGCCCGCCATGGAGGAATTCGCAGCCAGACACGCAGCGAGCATCGTTGCATTCGACCACCTCACAAACCTTGGCTACAAATTCCACCCACACCTAGTACCACCAACAACAAGAGATGCCAATTTCCAAGACGAGGACAAGGACAAGCCCTCATCACCACCACCACCTCCACCACCATCAAAAGAACTACCTGCAGTCTCGGCAATGTCGCATAAACTCGTAGCCCATATCGATCAGCTGAAGGCGTTGGAGGAGACCAAGAAGGCTCAAGATGGGAACAGGACGCTGCGTCAGGAGTATAAGAGCATGACGAAGAGGGCGGCGGGGAAGAGGTTTCCGAAGACGTGTAAAGGGGCTGGGGTTTGCAAGAATAAGTTGTGTGAGCATCTGTTTGCCGTTACGCCGTAAGTCGCCCTCTCTTGATTTTTGCTCTTCGGTGATTTTCGTTTGCTGGAAAGAAAGCGGCAATTCACTACTTCATTGATTGATACTTGATTCGATTAGAGAGGAGACAAGGCTGACTAAAACATTGAATGGTAGGCCACTTGACGGAAGGCAAAATCATATGGTTGATATAGTCATGAAGAAGACTGCTGATAATGGCTACGCATGCGAACGGAAGTTCGCTGAAGATTGGTTTACGCGTAGTGGACAAAAGCTGGTTCAGACAGTAGGTGCTATTGCCGCTGATATCGAGAAGCGTATGTCCCCATTCCTCCCTTCAGTCTTCCCTCTCCCATTCATATCTTCAATTTTCTGCCAAACAAGTTCTACAGTCAGATAGCAGAGAAAATGGGACAACTATGCGTTCAGACGCTGACAACAAAACAGGAGAGGAGAAAATAAGAAATTCCGGCCGGCTTCGACTCCACCCCACCATACCCATCCAGTCCATAAAAAACCGCCTCCTAACCCCCCTATCCTCCTCTGCCTCACGGGAAGAAATCCTATTCAGCATCGAGTACGAAGATGAAAGCCTCAAGCTCTGCCTCTCACAGAAAGCCGCCTCGCCCATGGTAAAGGACCTGTTCAAAAGGCTTCCTTGCCAGCAAGACCGCAAGGACGCCTTTGCTGCGTATGTTGGGGAAGCAAAATTTAGGGAGGCGAGAGCCGAGTATTGGAGGGAATGTAGAGGGAAGGGTGTTCAAGGAGACGAGTTGCTTGACCTTATGGATAGGTGGGAGTTGGAACATGACGATGATCCGGAATTTCGCGCAGCTGGGTAAGTACTACAATTTTTGTTCCGACGAGCTGGTGGGTCTTTGATGTTGAGGATGTTTTAGGGGGCTTAAGGATCTGGGTTGAGTATTGCTGACGCTGTGTATTTGTAGGTGGAGAACTCCTTTCACGGATGCATATGCTGATTATCACGATGATAATGTGGATGTGGCTGAAGCTCAAGCTCCATATCAGGCGACTGTTGAAGATGCAGATGAGGATGACTATGATGATGGCAACGGCAATGGCAATGTTGAGGATGATGGGATGATTGATTCTGAAGCTACCCTAGTAATCCGGAATGTCGCGGTAAGTACTTTCGGCTAGGTCATACGAAAGGCTAATCATTTCTAATTATTATTATAGAGAAGGCTCTTGGAAACCAAGGACAGGCTACTAACTTCTCTAGCAATGGGTATTTACAAAGGAGTTTTCTATGGTGAAGATATATTAAGCCATCATCTCATCACAGACGAGGATGCCGTCTACATGAACAAGAAGAGTACCACGCACGACGAGAAGCTATTACGGGTCTGGCGTCGCTATCAGGAAAGCGAGTTTCCCGAACTGTCACGAAATGATGGGCGGGTGGATACAATGTTTGATGCACTCAAAAAATGGTTGTTGAAAATATTTTCCCAAGATAACTTTTGCCAGGCAATGAAGGAAAGTCATGTCTTATCAGCCGCAGAAACCACAGCGTTCTTGGGACTGCACTCCTCGCCCGCACAGAGGAAATTGCTATTCATACAGCGCTATTATCAGCTTTTGCCACCTCTGTCTCAAGAAAATATGCTGATATTCAAGTACCAACTTGAAGTTGTGGAAGACGAATTACAGGCGGAGTTTAGGGGCGGTGAGATCAAGTATCATGATCCAGTGAGTTCCCTACTAAGACAAGGATTAATGGAACACAGCTAATGAGATACAAGTCCAAGTACATGCCACCCAGCGACCACGTCATCGTTGACCTATACTTTCGACATGCCGACCTGACCTTAACGCCAGAGGAGATGAATGATGTTATGACCGGTGGAATATTGACCAATGGATTAGCGGAAAAAATCCTAGGGCCCGATGCCAATGGAGAGCAAAAGAAGATACTATTCTGGGCACGCTATCTGGAAAAGTACCCTGAAGTATCTATAGGGCAATTGGAGGGCATTGTGCAGCGCGTGGATACTCTGGCCAGCGACTCGGATGAGATCAAGTATCTTGAGAACCTGGCTACCACACTTCCGACCTCGAGCAAAGAATACGACCGTCTGAAAAAGCTCATCATAAATCTGCCAAACAACCCCAGCACTATTAAAGCAATGTACCGAATGCTCCGAAAGAACATTGAGAGCCCTGAAGCTGTTCAAATGATGGATAACTTAGCACATGAAAAGCTTCTGATTGAAATCACGTCGATAGAGTCGATGTTTGAGAGGGACCATGGTACAAATGCTTTTGTTGAAGAAGCTTCCCATGAGATTAATGATATGATCTATGCTGTTGCAAACCAGTTCAGCATAATAGATAATGAAACAAAGCAGGTAAAGGATTTTGATGCCGGCAAAGAGCTCTGGGATGGATTTGAACCTGAGGGCGGTATCGGGCTGATGACATTCGACGAGGCATTCGATCAATACGTAACGGCCAAGATCATGCAAGATCTTCCTAAGAGGTCAAAGAAATGGGCTGCATTGACAGAAAAAGTCCGACTGTACACTTCGGGGCTGGTAAGAGGCTTTGAGTTGCTATATCCCGAAGAGGCTCTCGTGAAGGGTCATATCGAGATCGAGGTCGATGTCAAGGATACCTCAGCTCCTGAGAAGGCGGTTGATGAAGTTATTGTTAATTCAAGCTCCCAGAAGGGCGCTGACGATTCAACCAATTCCACCGATTCAAGCAACAAAAATGATGTCGAAGATAGGGAGGTCATGACCTCTGAGAGCGGCAGCGATGAAGTCGATGTCACTTCAGGGGATCATAATGACCCTGGCGAATCGAGCCGTGAAGGTGGGGTGGATAAGATGAATAACAAAGGCAAGGGATTTATCAAAGCTGTTAGCAATGCTGTGCGTAACATGACGGGGCCCAGGGATACATTATTTAAGATGATTGCGACGAAGAATATTGACAAGAAGCTCAAGAAGCTTAAAAAACTGGAAGCTGAGAGACTCGGCACTGGGATTCCGGAGAAACACAGTTCTAATACCCAAGTCGTTCGTGGTGTCACGGCAACTGGTCAAAGTGATTTGGAAGGGTTTGCTGTGGAGAGTGATCAGGCTGTTATGGACACCGACGATAATCAAAAGGAATATTCTGCCGAGGAAAAGGTCAAGACTGCTAGTCGCGTGCCCATCAAGGGTGTTACATTGGACAAGGAAAATGAAGGCGTTACGACTGGTAGAAATGAGGCTATACCTGAAGAAGTCTGTGCAATTCAGGCATCAGATTACGACGGCATCAAGACCCTGCCTAGAGGTCGATTCAGGAGTATGAACACGACGCAAATCGCAGCTCTCGTCAACAAAGACTTGGATGCACATAGCATGAAGCTCAACCCAATCATGTAAGTCCGGGCCTAAACCCAATAAGGGCTTATAGTAGACTAACACCCCACAGCCGTATATTCTTTGCCAACTTTCTCAAACTCCACGCGGCAATCACCATCGGCGATGCACTCTCCACCGGACCTTTCAAAAGTGATCAGATCGCCTACTTTATGACCAAGACCCGCGCTAATAGCATTTACACGGCCATCAACGTATTCGGCATCTGCGGCAATAAGCCGGAACAGGCCATCGCTCTTTATATTTACATGACGGCCTATCTGGTGCAGTACTTTCGGCATGTCGGTGTTAGGATGATTGGGGGAGGGGACGTGGAGGGGGAATTGGAAGGGAATATGGAGGTCACCCAGCAGATGGTTGAGATTAAGGTTTGGGAGTTCGCCGAGTATGTATGGGAGCGGAGGAAGATTATGGTGAAGCCTTATTCCGAATGAGGCTGGGAAGGGGGAAGGGATCTGCTGCTTACCTGTGGAAGCGGAGGAACCTCAGAGGAGGGAGCTCTGCAGCTC